GATGCATTCTTAACAAATAATCTTGAAATCGCTCCAGCTGCATTTGATAGATGGAGAAGTCAGAAGAAGTGGTGTATGTTCAAGTGGCTTAGAAATTTGCTGGGGCGTGGTTTGTTTTTTTTTTTTTTTTTTTTTTTTGGTGTGTGTGTGCAAATCTCCTAAGCAAATGTAGTTTATCTTTTAAAAATGACATTATTTACTTTTATAAGAACTTGGTCCTAAGCATAAACTAAGGCAATTTTTATATTGAGATAGAGAAATTAATTGTGAAAGATGTAATGTATTTTTATATAAATGACTGTTTTACTAAAATAGTTTGGGATGCCGTCTTTTTAAAATTGTGACAGGTCCTCATTGTCCTCATTTATACTTTTAGTGAAGTTTCAGTGGTTTATCCAGACACATACAAGCCTTGGTCCATGGTTAAGAAGTAAAAAGTAGTGACTTAACCGTTCTGCAGTAGAACTTCTCTGCTGATCATCTGGAATGCTAGTGATTGGGCAACTCAGTCTTGGAAATCCTGCCGAGAGCAGTGTAATCTTACTGATGTGATACTGGTTGGCATGGCTTCCCAGGGATTATGTCTTACTTAGGGACATGACTAAAATGAGACTCGCCAAATCTACTGTCAGCTAATGACAATACCATCAAGGCAAGTCTCTGTCTTCATGGAATTTTTACTTGCTACAGTGAGATACATCAAGATGACTTCATAGAATTGTGATAATTTTTTCTCTATCGATTCACTAAATAATATTCATGTGCAATTCTCGTATTTCGATGGTTTTGTCACTGAAGTTTAAATCAAAATATTTTTATGTCATAAAAAAATCACACGGTTTTCCCCACTAAGGCTCACCAGTGAAAACACCCCAACCCAAGTCATTTCTTTCCATTATTTTCTATCATAGCTCTTTTGCTTACTTGATAGCACTCATTCATCACAATCTGTAACTACGTCATTGTCCATAGGTCATGAAACTTGCTTGGTCGTAAATATTGCTTATTTCACTCACCATTGGGTCAAATACTCTGAATGACAAAATAAAGGCCCTCAGTAAATATCTGTTGAATGCATGAGTGAAGGAATGAAATAAAAAACAATAAATAGCTTGAGAATCATCTGGTTAGTTTGAGAAATACTATTTGAGAAGGCAAAGAAGAGGCATTTTGCATAATATTTAAAAATATTTTTCCAACACCAAGCTGGAAATACTAGTAAAAGAGAGAAAGGAAGTTAGGGCAAGTTTATACATTACACTTGCTTTACTCTTATTCTAATACATTAAGTACAAATTCTACTGAGTTTGAGACAAAAGAGTCTTAATTTTTTTCTAATAAAAGATCAGTTTTGTAAACTTTAGGCCAGATTCTAGAATAAGTATAGGCAATAGCAAAATCCTTGATCTGGACTTGGCCTTCAGGAGGCTTCCTGTTTGTGAGTTTTGTCCTCTCATAGAAAATATTTTGAGATTCCAAGCTGGTTTCAGTCATCTATGCAAGTGGTAACATGTGACTCCAAAGGGAATCTGATGATCTTCCACTCTTTGCTCTCAAATTCAGAGTTAATATTAGCAGAAAACAAATGGAAAGAAAGCTACTGGGCAAAGTAAATAATGCTAATCCTCCACAGGGTAAATGTGAGCTTGCTCACTATACCAATAAATGCTCATCACAAATACGTATTATATGAAAGAATCTTTGTGGGTTTTTTTTTGTTACGCTTGTAAACAATAGATTAGACACATAGATGGTAGGCAGAAACTGGAATCAAGTGATTTAAATGGTTACAAAATAATTTACGCTAAAAAATTAAACACAAACTGATTTTTCCAGCAATCTGTAAATGGCTCAATGATGTATGATGCACCTTCATGATAGAATATCATTATAGAGGGGAACGTATTTCAATCAGTCCCATGCGCCCGCTCTCACCCCCAGACAACTCTCCATCATTTCTATATGTTGGCTATTAAGGGGATTTCTGCCCTGTCTCTACACATTATTCCTCAAGGTTGGAAGAATCACTAAGTTCGTTGGCCAGACACAGATCTTCATGAGCTCACATTTTCACGAATGTGAAATTGTTTTGTAATAGTTACACAAAGTATGGAATTATTTTACCTCACTCACTGAGGCACAGTTTTCCATCTTTTCAATCATTCTCTTTTCCTTGGGTGTCCTCCTTGGGGACCTACTAGAAAGTTGGTGAGATTCCATGTGAACACACACCTTGCGGCTCAGAATCCAGACTGCATTTTAGAATACGTATCTTAAAGTCTGGGGGGACAAGTTCCCCACTTATTCCCCACTTAGGGTTGTAGTTATTTGTGGACTTTTATTTTTCAAATAACTCTTTAAGTAATTTTATTGGGCTCCTCAAATAGCTAAATAGACCTTAATTGAGTTTGTGTTACATTAATAGAAGTATGTACATGTATTGTCATCTGTCTAGTATAACACTTCTAGCCATTACCTTGGGAAGTCTCTCCATTTGTCTTCTGTTACAGTATTAAAGTTTTCCCCCAAGAGAGTATGATGTCAGTGTAGTCAATTAGGGGAATTTTAGCAAGGCCACTTTGTAAGATTCTTGGAGTCTTGGGGTCCCTTTGTCTTTATAGACAAAAATGCTTCTTTACTTAGTATAGGAAGGGCACCTTTTGCATGAGGATCTTATGCCCTGTTTCAGGAAGGGGGAAAAAGTCAAAACTACCTCCGACTTTGATTTTCTTAAGCTCCTTTAACTTAAAATATCAATATGGGGCCTCCCCTGGTGGCACAGGTGGTTGAGCTCAGCGCTGTGAAGATGTCCACAGCCTCTGCAGCGCCAGTTTGATCCCTGCCGGCCAGCGAGGGTCCCGCATGGTGCTGCAGACCTCTCCTGTCATGCCCGCTGCTCCCCTCAGCAGTGCATTTCGTCAGTCTGCCGGTTCTGTTCCCCGCCCTGTCTCTGGTGAATCCTCTCACCCTCCCGCGCATCTGGCCTGTACCCCAGCTCTTGTAGAAATAAATAATCTTCAAAAAAAATATTCAATATGCCAAGGTGCTGTATTTTGGTTAGCATGTCCTGAACCACACCAGGTATACTCAACCAGCCTTAAGAGTGCTGTAGGTTACATTTGAACGATTTTAAAAATAAAGAGGAATATAACATTCTCTGCAAAATAATTTCTATATCCTAGTTCTAACGTAATGATTTTTAAAATATAGATCTTTTACTTAGAATTGCACCAAAAGAAAACTGAGGTTAAAAAAAAAAAGTTTTGCTAATGCACAAAAAGTATTTGTAAAATTTAATTGACCTGGGAAGTAGCTATTTCTGAGGAAAATAAAACAATCTATTCCTTCTGATCACAAAAAGCAGACCCATTATGGCTCATTCATAATTCATTCAGGTCTAAATTTTGACTAAGTCTCACTTGATGAGAGAAATGGCATTTGATGTGAGTGAAAGAAGGTGTAAGAGCAAGAGTGAGCCCAGAGCGAACGGGGTGTGGGTGTAAAGGAGGGGAGAGAGACACACAGAGAGAAGTTTTTATTAATTATCTTCCTCCTTCTGCTTTCCCAAACATTACTTGATAGCTGAATCTTGCCAATATAATTCTCCTTAATCATTTTTATGAGAATTAAGTTGCCAAACTTTTTATCAAACATCAAGTAAATGTTGGAAAAATACAGACTCTGTGGTTATATTTAATTTAGTGTTCTACAAAAAAGATTACGTAAAGACTACTTTTATACATGCGCGACAAATGCAAGAAATGGGGATATTTTCCTGGTGTCTGTGCTGACATCAAATTTAACCTTGGGATACCCGGAATGAAATGTCTCTGGATGGGAAATAGTGGAGAAATTAGCCCCAACTTCTCACCTCATTCAGAGTAAACAATACCTATATTTTGATTATACTACAAGCAAAAAAAATGTTTTATTGTTTTATATTAAGGGGATAAAAGCTAGAGAAGGAAAAACTAAACACAGGAGTTGAGGAACTTATGAATTGTTATTTTTTAAAAGGGTTTGTTGGAAATCACATTCAAGTTTGGTTATAATCCAAGTGGAGTCAGTTTTTCTACAGCTATATTACTGTTCTTTGTGATTCTAATCTGGGATAACCTGACAGTTTAACCATGGCTAAGATACCTCTTTTGCGCCATGGCATTCTACTAACCAGCTGTCTTTCTGAGGTAGGAAACTGATTTTATTAATATGAGTAACACACAGGGAACATATGAACAGTCAAAACAGCAGAAAAGGCCTCTATCTAATTTTTATCTTCCTGTCAACCTGGGTGGATTCCCTGAGAGACAATAATGAAGAGAGCAGAGGGAAAACCCTTGCAGGAATTTTTTTACTCTTATAATTTACAGTAAATTGTTTTTTGACAGCTAGTTTAAAGCTTTGCCCCTCCCCTTCTAGGGATTCATTTAAAGAATGTGAGAGCCTAGGAGTAGGAGGTGCTATTTTTTTAAAACGATAATGAACACAGAGCCAAAATGAAAACCAAGGTCACAGATAATGGAAAACACACCACAGGCATTTTTATTGCCTTTGTGTTTTTAATGATGTCTTCATTGTCTCTTATTGTGTTTTTGTTTTGTTTTCTTTTTACAGTCACTGATGTTTCCTGCTCTTTGCCATTTGCTTTTGGGCTGGCACTAGCACTTCCATAAACTATCTTAATGGCCTCCTGCTGGGCTTCTGTAGTGAAGGGTCTGCTAATGCTTCCATTATGACCCAGCTCCCAAAGATCCTTATATCACAGTCATCTTAATTTGCATTAGACCATAGGGAACATGTCACATAGGTCAGACTTGGGAGTAGTATTTTTGGTACATTTGAAAAGATGATAGTTTAAATTCTCAGCAGTTGTATAGCTCCAGAGCCCTGAATCCAGTTACAGTCGCATTTGCAGGAGTTTTAACTGAGTAACTTCCATAAAAGTTAATTGAAATTACCTGAATGAAGCCTCAGGTGATGCTTTGAAAATAGAGACTCACCTTGTAATCGCCTTGTTCTCCTTTCACCTTCCTCTCCTGTCTTGAATAGTAGTGCTATCACTGATTAGCGAGAATGTCATCCTATAGATGAAGGTGGAATGACATAATAATTAAAAACAAATTGTACCTTAGTTTAATAAAGACTCCCACTAGAAATGCAAGACAAAGCAGTTGTTTTGAAATGTCAGGGTGACCTAGAGTGGTGATAATAAAAGGCTACAAATGCCCAAGCTGAACAGTCCTTGGGAACAGACACTGGCCCAGCGTGCTGGTCTCACACTTGACTTGGAATCAAAGGGAATTAGACACTATGTCAAAAAATTTTTGTAAAATTTTTCATTTTCATCTTGTAAAACGTTGTAAGCATTTCAAAACTTTTCTTTGAATCCTGAATTAAAGAATCAAGAAATCAACCAAGAAATATAAGGAAAGGGGCCCAGCATTACACAAATACGTAGATGATTTAAAATTTCTTAAGCATTTTAGTAGTCAGTTATTCTTTAAATCTTCAAAACGATCTTTTGAATCATGAAATGGATCCATGTTTTCAAGATATATAAATGAATGATTGGCTGGCAATGTGAAGGTGATTGAATCTTGGCCAACCATTTGCTAAGCAGGGGCTTGGGGCAAGTTATTCAATTTCTTGGAGACTCAATTGCAAACTTGCAAATGGAGAATATGGTATTACCTCTATGGGGCTGTGACAGGGAGTGAGTGAATGTCACACAATCCACACACAAAAGAAGGTCTTTAGAAAAAAAAAAAGGCCTTCAGAATATTTACTCTTTCTACTTTGTTTCCTTGAAAATATGTAGGCTTACTTAATGTCATAGTTAATAGCAAATAGGAAATTAAAATATGAGTGCTTTGACTTATACAAGAGGAAAGGAAATTTCCTCCTGCCCTTCTGGATTCTTTGCAAGCTGGTCAAATAACCAAATTAACATCACAGAGATTAGAAGGAGAAAAAACAAATTTAATTATATACAGGGAATCCACATAGGCTTGTGGATAGCAAAGACAAAGATAAAATTAAGGTATATCTCCCGAGCTAAAGAATGGGACTGTGGCCTGGGACTTCAGGAGAGAAGAGGGGACTAAGGACATGAAGAGCAGATGCTCTGTAATTAGGCATTTTCCCTGCCAAATACATAGTTATTTCATACAGAAAAGTCATTTCTGGTAATAACCCCAATTCTGGATTAAGACTCTCAATTTTCAGCTTCATGGGTAGTTAAGGGAGTAGTAAAAATTTTCCCTAAGTCTGCAGGGCCCCAAGTAACCTCAGGTGAAAGTAATCTCTGTGTGTGTGTGTGTAATGTGAGAGAGAGAGAGAGAGAGAGAGAGAGAGAGAGAGAGAGAGAGAGAGAGAGAGAGAGAGAGATAAACAGGGAGAAGCCACTCAATAAATGCTTATCCAGTGCTAATTTCCATATACCAGGAAACTGTGTCAGGTGCTTGGAATCAAACCGGGACTAAAAATAGACATTTTTCTCCCCTTGTGGTAGAGGGTATGGGAATATCAACTGAGTGCATTAGCTGGATATTTGTCTTATTTTCATACATAAATCCTGACAAAACAGCTTCTCTTCCTCCCTTTGTTTTACTTTCTTCCTATTTTTCCATTCTAACTTTTCTTTCATTCCAGAATATTTTCATACTAATTTGTGATCATTTTTCCTTCTCCATTCTGAAAACCTAAGCGCCTATTGCCCTAAAACACCTAGTTTATATGATGCCCTATATGATTTTTATATTAGTGACTCGCTTGGAAATCTGTGTCCCCTCCTCAAAGCACCAAAATGTAAACTCCTTGAGGACATTGTGAGAATTATTAAACTTAATTAAGTTGTCCACCACTTATTATATTTTCAGCCTTAAGTGTCACTCAATAAATTCTCATTAAAGTAAATGTTGTCCGATGTAAGTCGGTGATGATATCTGGGTGGTGCTCAAGACTCAACAAATAAGATCATATTGGTAATGCAGATATAAACATTTCTACTCAGTGCTGAGAAACGAAATTAATACTGGACATTACACTTGGGGTTAATGAAAATAACTAGCTTTTTAAAAATTATATGTGGCCTCTATCTCTTTTATTTAATGGGGACATTAATGAGTATAATTTTTTTTTGCTTAGAATGAAAATTTTGAAAAAAAACAGCTTTACAATTTGACTCTGATATTTGACATTTTTAAATGAAGTTATATGATCTACAAAATTTTATTAAATGCGTTAAATATGAGGAAAATATTTGGTAAAACACAGAAAGGCTTAACTTCTCTAATTTTCTCCTACCTCCTTTACTAAGAGAACTTGAATCTAGAACCAGAAGGTCACACTTGTTTGTCTGAAGATGTCAGTGGAAGATGAGGTCAGCCAAGCTGGAAGGTCACGGAGAGTCTTGCTAGCATACAGTTTGTCTCACTTACTGCATTTCACAATCTTCATAACATTGTATCCACCTAAATAACATAAATAGGAAATGCAAAGTTGCTTATTCCCTGAAATAAATGGGAAGTCACCCATATACACATGTTGAGGTGAGGGACTGTGCACATGCGCCACACATAATACAGATTTCAGGCCATTTAGCTTTGGATTTGGGAAAATATGTATGAAAATATTGACATGCAATTCTAAATTTGTTCATATATGGTACATTCTATCAATATATATAATATACATGCATATGTTTAGTATTTTTTCTTTAAACAGTTTTTATTTAAACTACTTCTACTAACATATACATATATAAATTATCCTCTAAATACACTATTTTTGATGACATTTAACTTATTTTTTTAAGATTTTTTTTTTTATTTCTACAGTAGCTGGGGCCACAGGTGCGGGGGGCAATAGGATTCACCAGAGACAGTGGGGAGCAGAACAGGTGGATCTACTGAAATACACTGCTAAGGGGAGCACCTGGTGAGGCAGGAGAGGTCTGCTTCACCATGTGGGAATCTCCCTGGCCGGCCGGGAATTGAACCCACTCTGCTGAGGCTGCAGACAGCTTCACAGTGCTGTGCTCAACCCACTGAGCCACTAGGGAGGCCCTTTGACAACATTTTAAAAACATACATTAAGTAGTCATTTTTCAGTATGGTTAACTGTTTCCTATAGGACCTTCCCAGAAGAACCAACATGGTACTGCTCCAAAACCCAGGGAAGCCATAAATCTAGATTGATGAGTTGAATGTGAAAGATTTTTTTTTTTTTTATAAATTTTATTGTTATATTCCCATACAATTGCAGCCCCCCATTCTGACCCCAATCCCTCCCTCCCGCCCCCGCCCCCTAAAAGTGTCTCTGGTTCATAGTTTTTTGTTGATTTTGATTTTCACTTTCTTATAGTTTGAATGTGAAAGATTTTTAGCAGAGTAGGAGCCTGCCCCGGCAGGAGTCTGGGTCCCCTGGTAGCTGGACAGTGCAGAGTCAAGGCTGCTGTGCTCTACCAGGTAAGCAAGGGGCAGAATGACTCAGGGTTTTCCCCTGCACTTTGCTGGTATTTCGATGAAAGGCATCCAAGTGACTCACAAAGCAATCACTTTGTTGTCTAAGAACAGCAAACTGAGTTCTAGCAATAAATTCTATTTTGGCCTCTGAGAAGCTTATTATAAACAGTTGTATATTTAGAGCACCAAACAGTGTGGTTTTAAAGGTTTTCTCTTCCCTGCACTGTATTTTTGTAAGGGTCCTGCTTTTGTCTCCTGACACCAGGCCAGTATTTGGCCCACGGTATGTTATCAATAATTGTTTGTGAGCTTAAATTAACGCATCGTGGAAAACAAGACTATCTTAATTTTCATTATAAACTTAAATTAGTTTTCCATCTCCCCGAAGAAAGATTATAAATAAGGTGAAATAAAAGGAATGTGGGAGGAAATAAGATAATCAGGTTTACAATTATTTCAGTCTGAACTAATATTTATTAATACCTAGATGTCTAGCTAGGTATTCTTATTTATTCTATTCGATGAGTGAGGAAACTAAGGCAAATAAATGTTAAACAATTTGCCTAAAAGTTTCATTGTTAATAAGTGATGACAAAGCTAAGATTTGATGCAGGTAATCTAATCAGAGTCTGCACTCTTTTTAAACAACTTTTATTCAAGTAACAATACATTATAGCATTGTGTACATATCAGGTGTGTATCATTATGAATCACTAACTGTATTTGGTATGTTAAATTCACCATTAAAAATCAAATTCCATCTTTTACCACACAATTGACCACCTTTACTCTATTTACCCTCTTTTTCTTCCCCCATCCCTTCTGATAACCACTAATTTGGGCTTATAGTCTATTTTTGTTTTCTTTTTCTTTCATTCATTTATTTTTTTCTATATACCATATATGAGTGATTTACTTCATTTACTTCTGATTTATTTCATTTAACATAATTCTCTCTAAATCCATCCACATTGTTACAAATGGCAGGATTTCAACTTTTTAATAGCTGAGTAGTATTCCACTGTGTTATATATCACATCTTCTTTATTCAATATTTTGTTTATGGGCTCTTAGGTTGTTTCCTAACAACCTGCAGGGAGCTGGGTGTGTGGAGACTTGGGGGTTGCTTGCATCAAGAGAGAGAGAAATATTCAAGGGAAACAGTGAGATTCAACCAGTGCATACACTGCATGAAGCAGATGATGGATTTATAAGACACTGTTCTGCTGGTGAATGCCAGACAAGGCAAGGAATGTGTGTGTGTGTGTGTATCTGTGTGTGTGTGAGCATGCCAAACCTTGTATGCATTATTTTTCCCTCACCCAATTTCCTATCAACCAGCTATTTACTGTGATGTGTGTGTAAACACAAATGCATCAAGTCATGATGGAAAAAACAAAGAATTTTCCATGAGATGGACCTGGGGTACAGGCCTAGGTACCATCTCTTTGCAGTTCTGGAAACTCAGAAATAAACAGTTGATATCCCTGGGATTTGATTTATTTATCTGTAGAGTGAAGCTACAAATAACCTACAGAGTTAGTATGATGACTAAGACTAAGCTCAGACCTCAGGACCTTGATTCATAATCTCCACTCAATACATATTATTTACCTGAGAATATAAATATCCTGTAATTAAGACAAAACTACTTAGACTTTTAGGCAAGGGAGCAGCATAGTTGACATACATCTTGATTCGGATATCTATATAGAGCAGAACTGAGAATTTTTTCTAACTTAACTAAAGATTCATCAGCAGTGATATGGTGTTGCTGGTGCTCATATCTGGGGAACACAGAGTGCTCTGAAGTCATATTCTAACGATTATATTTTAAGGAGATCTGACCAATCCGCAGCCCCTGGGCACAAGTGTAGTCAGGGACAGCCAGTCTTCTGACTGGTAAGAGGAATAAGTGCTGCCTAGAAAAGACTGTCTGACTCAGATATCTCTGTATGTTTACTGTTTCTTTTTTCTTTCTTTTTTTTTAAAGATTTATTTATTATTTATGCAAGCATGGGGAACAGTCAGAAGTGGGGGAGGGTGAGAGAATTCACCAGAGCCAGAGTGGGGAACACAACAGGTAGACTGACGAAGTACACTGCTGAGGGGAATGGCGGGCATGCTGGAGAGGTCTGCTTGCCATGTGGGACCCTCGCCCGGTGGCCTGGGATCGAAGAAGTGCTGCAGAGGCTGCGGGCAGCTTCGCAGCCCAGCGCTCAACCACTGTGCCACCAGGGGAGGCCCTTTTTTTACTGTTTCTTATTAACAAAAATGCCCATGGAAAGTGAAGCATAATAGAGGCAAAATATCATAGGGCTACCTCGGTAGAACATTCTGTTGTGCCTTTTTCAGTTAAAATTTCACATACACATGTAGAGTCAGGATAGACAGATTTTAACATTCTCCAGAATATCTAAAAAGAAAAAATAAAGGTAATTACAATCTTAATTCTGTGAAGTGATTGCATGTTAGGGATCAAGGGAGAAAAGAATCAGTGATTAAAAATTAGGACATATGAATCTTATGACAGAGTAGAATTTTCTAAGACACCATGTCCTTTCCATATACTGCATGCCTACTTTTCTTCCCTATTCCCTCCCTCTATTTTTACTTCTAAGAATACCTTGAAAGATTTACCTTAATGTATTTCATTCAGAGCTCAATCCTCTAGAGACTTTAGGGGTATATATTCCTTTTTTTTTTTTTTTATTAAAGTTCCTGGAATTTTTTCTTCAGAATTGAGTTTAGTAAGCCACTTATCACTCCACACTTTAGCCCAATTAGGATTTAGGTTAAATCAGACTAAGCACTCTTTCGTGGCTGCTCCTACCAAACCCCAATTCTATCTATGTCAGCAGATTTTCTCCTCCTAATGCATATGCCCATTATTTATCCCCATAGCAGTCCATTAGTTGGCTCTGGGTAGTTACTATTCTCAACTACCTTCAATCTGAGCTATTCAAGCTATTTTCCCCTCATCCAACTATCTCATTCCATTTTGCCATATTTGCTGATCTTGTGAATCAGTTTCTATATTATATTAAGAAATGTCTTAAATGCCAGTGAGACTATATGTTGTTTGCTCTTATTCCCTCTAAATAAAAACTTCCTTGACCTTCGTACAGTAAATTTTATCCGTTTTGCAATACATGGCTTCTTTTCAATAAATCAGCATTGTATATAAATATATATATTTATAAATATAATTATAACTTATATTTATTTTATATTAAATATATTTATATATAATATATACTATATTTATATACACTATATTTATATATATTTAGTATAATAATGTCTGTATATACTCTTATTCTTTCCAATCTTCAGGTTCCTTTTTAGGGAAAAATTCTGATTTTTAGACTTTATTGGATTCGATTTGCCTCCACAGAAACTTTATAATTAAAGCCTGAGCATACATTTAAGATATTTTCAATATATATTGATTTTATCTATTTTATCTATTAAAACTCATTTTATATAGTCAAGATATTTTCTTACATTGACTGACAAGTGATAGAAGTTAAAACCCTTCCTGAGAATTTTCCAGTGAACCATTTCCAAAGGTAAATGTGTCATCTGATAACTCTCTTGCTTGAGCAACTAAAAAATGGTGTCTAAATTTTATTAGTGACAACTTTGAAGCATTAACTTATTTTGAAGTGATTGCACTTTACTCAGTGACTAATCCAAGTCTAGACATCTGCTGTAAAAGTGTTTTATTTGAAAACACCTTTTTGGTGTTTTCTGAACAGAGCTGCCTGCCATCTATTGGTGGTTCTCTTGAATTGCAGGATCCACTCATTTATTGATCTTTAGTATCACAACACAAATCTAAGACACAAAACTTAGTTTTGACCATCTTAACTAATATTAGTAAAAACTCTATAATGACTGCTCATATGCATAATTGAAGCTACTATGTCATAATATCACAGAAACAAATTGACAGATGATTTTAGCTGAATTTAATCACACTGATTCTAAGTGTAAGAGAATAAAAATCACAGCCATTGCTTGAGGATGATTGCATTTAAATTTTAGGTCACATCATAAATTTTAGGTCACATCAATGTCTATGCTGGAAACATCTAATAACACTGAGCGGATGGAGTTTTTATTCTGATAGGATTTTTTAAAAGATTAGAATATGTTAATGGATTTTCACTGTACACTTGTCATTTTATAACCTGGTACTGTATCTCCAGAAAGCCTGAAACCTAAGGCTGCTATGAATAGTATGCCTGGAAAATGGGTTTTGAGTGACTCATCTCTCAGTAAAAAGCAAAATGACTGCATTGCCACCAGTTGCTTACCTGTCATAGACAGACAGTCTCACAGTTGGAGTTTCCAGCATGGCTGAAAGCTTCTAGGCAAATATTCAAACTGAAAATAACAGCAGTAACAACTGGGACATGTCTGGAAGGACTTAATGCGATCTCTATGATCAGAGTGTCATTAATATGAAGACTTACAGGCCAGGGCATCATGGACCTTGATCAGGCTGTGCTCCTTGCCCTGGAGGACGGACTTCAGTGCAGTTACATTTCTGTATCTGTGGGAACAGTAAATTGTATTCTATCATTTATTTCCACTAAATTCTTTCAATCAATCACATTGCTATCTCTTTTGTAAAAAAAAAAAAAAAGAAAAGAAAAGAAATTGCAAGTACTTTTCTTCCTTTTAGACAAACAAAGATGTGGAGGCATGGATGCCTTTGGCATCATTAAGAAATTGAAATCAGCAAAGACCTGTGAAGAGGGCATCCATTATTCCCTGCCATGTCCTGGATATATCCAAACCTGAAGTTTCCTGTGCAGTATATTTGTTCTTAAACTCTATCCCCTGTAAATCCTGGACATAAATGAAAATACTACATGGTTAAACCAGACTGTATCTTAACTTTAGTGTATATAATCTTTTTCCCTTCCATGACTGCAAAAATATGTAACTGCTGAATAATTCATTTTCACTTGGAACCAATCATTCTCTATCAACCACACTTGATTAATTTTCTACCTAGACCCTCCCGCCCCCTGTTAGGCAACCATAGCTAGCACAGCAACTCAAAAAAATTCAAAGCAATGACTGATTCATGTTTCAGTGTAAATGGCAGTGTGTTGCTCTATGAATTTTTATATCTTTGATGCTAGAGGATTTGGTTTTTTCTATATGTAATGTTATTCTGAATACCACAGAAACAAAGGTCCAGAAAACAGTTTTTATGTTTACCATTTTGTTTTCATGTGGTATACTTGGGACTACCCATTATATCAGATTAAGGAGGTTTCTTTCCCTTTTCCCTAATGTACTACATATTATAATTTCCCCTATTACTGATTTATAATGAGATTTAATTAGCAGAAAAGGAATTTAATATGTTCCACCTCATTAATAATAAAGGAATAAAATTAAAATTGCATATTTTTAAACTTTCACATTGACAAAAATTAAAAGCAAAATTTTAATATCTAGTGTTAAAAAGCATGTAGTAAGAAGGATAATCTCATTTGCTGAAGGCAGTTATTTAAGTTGGTGCAAATTTTGTAGTGTGAATTTTAACAGTGTTTATCAATACCCTAAAATGTGTTCATGCCTTAACCTTATTCATAAATGTTCTAGCAATTATTTTCAAAATTATGAGATAAATATGCAGATATTTACATATAATTTTACCATAATGAGATTTTGTAATATTTTGTATGCTATGTACACATACTATACAATTTAAATTATAAATGTAGTAGTAAAGTTAGAAATTCAAGATTTCTAAACAGTGGAGGATGATTAAACTATGGCATATCCTGATGATAGAATATTATAGATACATCACTCATAGAGCAATGTCAATAGCACATAGCTATTGCTCGAGATTTATAAATAGAAACTAACAGAAATATAGAACTTATAATAGTCTTACCACTGACTATTTCTAAGTAATGAAATTGTCATCATCCTTATTTTTATTTTAATTTTCTTTGAAACTCTTACAATTACTTTATGACTCAGAAAAAAGTGTTGTAACAATCTGAAGAAATTGTGCAAAATGCAAAGAAGGAGTCAAATATTTTCCATTCCTTATGATGGCAATTCCCAAAGTTCCTGAGGCTTTCCGGGTGCTTACTATTGCTGGAAGGATGGGGAGCCTCCCTATTTGGGTTTGTCAGCCTCAGCAGTGTGTGCCAGGCAGTCACATGTTGTTGTTCCCACCTTCCAGTCACTATCGGAAGCCCAGGAGAGCCTGCAAGCTTGGCTTTGGACAGCTGTGGTGTGTCCCATCTGATGTAAGACATGAGGGTGGGCCACTGATGTATTTCCTTCAGGAAACATAGGCTGTGGCATTTTCTTTTCTCCCCCAGGACTTCATTCTTTTTTTTTAATTAATTTATTAATTTATACAAGCACTGGGTACAGTCAGAAGCGCGGGAGGGTGAGAGAATTCACCAGAGCCAGAGCGGGGAGCAGAGCAGGCAGAAGGACCGAAGTACACTGCTGAGGGAGCAGCGGGCGGCAGGAGAGGTCTGCGCGCCATGTGAGACCCTTGCCCGGTAGCCGGGGATTGAACTGGCACTGTAGAGGCCGCGGGCTGCTTCACAACCCAGCACTCAACCGCTCTGCCACCGGGGAGGCCCAGGACTTCATTCTCTATGTCTCTGACTTTGTGCCTCGCTTGAGCTTCTTCTTCCTTGCAAATCTTCATCTGCTATCATGGTCCCCATCACTCTGAGGCTTCCTTTGTGGTATCTTAGTCTGCATTTTTATGGCTACACGCCCAGATTTTTGTGTCATACCTCTTTAGAGCACCATTAGTCAAGCCTGCTGGCAACTCTGCTCTTGATATTAGAATGGTTCTTTGATATAACAGATAGCCACCCCCTTATCAATATCATTGTAAAGCTCCCCAATGCCAATTTTTTCATATTAATATTATTTTTATTATGCAGGCATTTTAAACATATTTTTCAGAGTCCTGCTATGATTTATCTTATTGCATCAAATTGTAAAAATTGCCTTTTATCCTAGATTAAAAAAAAATAATCCATACTATTTCAGTGAGAGGATATGTTATAGATTGTGTAAGGGAAAGCCATGATCTCTGGGAGTTGCTCTAGAAGGAAGGAGATGTATTTTCATAATGTTAACTGCTTTGGGGCTTTCAGTGGTGAAATATCACCATGTGGCCCAAGAGCTGGGATTGATAGGAGGGTCCTAACTTGGTGACAAGATGAAAGGATACAAGGCTTACCTGGGGAGATAAGCTGCCCCAGAAGTCGATGGCTAACCACACACTGTGTTGAGGAGCAGCTCTTGAGAGAATCCTCTGAACTGGTATGGCCAACAGATGCTGGGAGTTAGAATATTTTATATTCAGTTTCAATTTTCAATTATTTTCCACAATGTCATTTCATTATTTCATATTTCAGTTTCAGGCTGAAGCATTATCTAAGACACCATGATATGAGGGATGTCCCAATACATCTTTTAAAGGTGAAGTTGGTCAAAGAATGCTTGAATGGTAGACTCCTTGACACCCAGAGTATAATAAGCAAGGGAGCCCTAAGTACACTCAGAAGTAATTGAACAAGAGATTAGTTTGCCTGAAGTCATATAGAATGAGGTTCAGTTTATTCATACTTAAATAGGAGGGTCATTTCAGAAGGATGCATGTCATTTCAGCACGGGCCCACTTGTGTTATATTTTTTGGTCAACCGTTTAGCAGTTTTAGCCACAAAAGGTTTTAAATAGACATCCTTTCCCCTTGACTTCTGTATTTTACTTGGTCATAACCTTACGTCATGCCACACCCACGGCATATTCAAGGCACTTCAAATAGGTGAGCTGATGTGGAGTGAAGTGAGCAATGGAAATTGCTAGAGCCATAAGGGTTGTGTTTTACAGGCTCACTTAGTCTATGCCAGAAATTTGGATTTTATTCTAAGAGGATACCACTGAAGATTTATAAATATGGGAGGGGTATTATCTGATTTATGTTTCCAAAAATATTCCACAAGTTGTTCTTGCAATTGTTATCCATGATTTTTGGGGAATTAACATTTCCCCTTGTGCAAGTCAGGATAGTCTGTGATAGGTGAAAATAATTCTGAAATTTCAGTGGTTTAATACAACAAAGATTTATTTTCCTCTCATATAAATTTATGTAGGTCAGGCATCTCTCCTGCTGCATGATTAGAACATGTTCTCCCCAAGGACCCAAGGCGCCTTAGCAAAGAAGACAGAAGACACTGGTTTATAGCACATTTGCCCACATCCTGTGGATACCCAACTCAGTCCTATGGCATCAAACTCCCAACAAGGGAGACTAGGAAACATCTTCTTGGTGTCTAAGGAGAGGAAACATTCTTGCCAAACTCTTTGAGCCAAGACAGCTCTGATTTATTGTCCTTGGAAACATAGAAGCTGGTAAACAGCTTATCCTCCATTTTAGGGCCAGTGAGAGGGGACGTGCAGGTCTTCGCAGGGTCTTGGCATCAACAAGTAATCTGGAACTTCGTAAATCTGATTATAATTCCAAACCCGCGCAGCCCTGCTAGTGGATGGGGGATCCTCATACAAAGATGATTATTCCCTAGCCATCCTGGATGAAATTTTCCTAACTGTGTCCAAATGGGATTAACAAGTCAAAGAAAACTCTCTAGGCCAGAACCGAGGATAATAAACATCCCACATACATCACTTCCCAAAAGGTGAGGTGCTCAGCCTGGATGGACTAAACTACAAGCAGCTGAATCTTTTTCCTCTATTAAGTCTATTAAGTGAAAAATTGCACTTCTCCACCGAATTTTCTACACAACACAGATTTTCCTCTCAAGAATCGGACACTTCCTAAATTAGGATCACAATGGGAGATGTATGATTATTATAACTTATAAAGTACATGCTGCTGAGACGGTTATGACATGGATACTGGTGATTCTGAGAGTATTTATTAATTGCTCTCTCTCTTTCTCTCTCTCTCTCTCTTAGGCAGTGTGATAAATTCTTTAGAATATATTCTTATCTTAATATATTCTTAATATATAAAATATTCTTAATATATACTTTAATATATTCTTAATCCTGACTTGTAATACGAACTACTAAAATGTTGAAGCTGAGGAGTAGGAAGGTCATGTCCTCTTCCTGGTAACACAGCTTGTAATAAACACTGAGGCAAGATTCAAGCTCTTGGGTCTCTAGCTCCTAACTTCATGCTCTTCATCAGAAGAAAAGGATAAAATTGATGCTCTGCCTATTTGATTCATCAACATACAAATAATTAGGTTAAAATTTTCACAGCATTCACTAATCTCCCTAATACCTAGGATTTTAGAATCAATAGTTTGCCTTCTTTATGACAAGCAAATTGAGCCTATATTAACTTTTATGAGACAAAAATATTAGATATTCAATATAAATATTCTTACAAGTTATATATGCTATGGAAGCCTCAGTAGGCACACACCTTCTCTGATAGCATCAACCCCTCAGACAATCAGCCTTCCCAGGCCATGTTTGTCCCGGAATCTCTAGTATTGCTATGCAAATAGTATGCTGTCAACAAATGTTTGTTTGCTAGGCCAATTCATATTTCTCCAAGTGCATGCTTTAAACATGGTTGAAAGCATAAAGGCATATAAAATATGAATATCTTTTGAAAAAATAATAAGATGTGTGCTTTTTTGGTACTCAGAGTATTTTTGTTTTACTTTATTACAAATATAATGCATGATCATTGTGAAAAGCCAAAATACTAATATGCTTTGTATAGAATATATATATATATACACACACACTATATATTATCTTTCTATGTATATACACATACACACATATATAAATACATATATACACATACAAATAATATATATACACATTCTATATATTCTCTCTATGTATACACACATATATACAGATAATAAAATAAAATTACACAGTTTGTAATTTTATATTTCTCATTTGATTTCCTATCAGCTATTGTTTAACTAAAATATATATTTTTCTGATAGCTTATGGCTAGCCTGTAAACTTTTCATAGTTAATTTTTGTTATAGTTTCCTGGAGAGAAACATGTGAAATCAACTCTAAACATCCCTGTGAAATAGTTTAATAAGTTGTACTGATGTGGCAATAAAATATTCTTGCCTCAAAAATCAACAAGGAGGTTCAAACGTGAGATTATTTTTTTACATCTAATATATAAATAGTAGATTTATGCAAAAGTTCCATTGGTAAATAGTCAAAGAAAACAAAGTCTCTTTGTTATGAATGCAGGCAAAACTAAGAAAAATAATTAAACAATCATTTAAAAACCCATAAACACAGTGCTTGCACACACACACAGAGTCTCATTAACTTCAAACCATAAGAAATTAATTACAGATTCACTGCTAATGAACATATGGGATAAGTGCTGACACTCAACTGGTTCAGTTCAGTGATCACAGAAGCAAAGCAACACTCACAGACGGATGGTGGGGGAATCGTCAGTGAGTGGGGGCCAGGAAGCAAGATTCCTTCATAACTATGGAAAATAGTTCCAAAATATTCAGACAGAGAGAAAAGGGCTCCAAAATTCATCCCATTCTGAATATGAACAGACCTTCTCCATCACTACCACCTGCTGCCTCTACCTCTAGAAAAAGCTGAAATGTCTGAGTGGAGGGGAGAGGATAGGCAGGGAGGCATTGGCAAAAAATATGGGTGCACAGCAATACTACCCCCTAGAAAATAATAAAGAGGAAAAGGAAAAGAATATCTAAAGGAGGCCCCTAAGCCAGAATCATATAGTTATCTATACTGAGATGCCATGAGTTAAGTCAAAGAGAAATCCACTGAGAGACTGCAGAGAAGTTAAGGTGGTGATTCTATATGCCCTTTTCTACTTAAATATGCTGACAATTTGAAACACCCTCTGTGAACTGCAGACCATGCAGACACCGAGTTACAATGTCAAACTCAAAAGACATCATGGCAGCTGGATCAACACCACTTTGTCTTTAGGACGGTCAACTCACTGAAAACAGAAGGCAGCTATGTGGGGCTTTTTATCTATCAGGAAGATGTGAAATTAAGTAACACCACCTGGAGTTATAAAATAGTGAATGCCTCCTATATCACTTGGGATAATCAAATTCCTCCCTATTTCTATTCACATCCAAAATCGTCAGTTTATTATTCATCACCTGTGATGTATGCGTTATTCATGATTAAATATTTATCAATTCATGGTGGTGGCTCTTCCTATTGAATCACTCTCCTGTTATTCACTCATTTGTGTTTAGATCCATTGAAGATGTCTTGATTTGTCTATGAGATGGGTGAATCCTAAACATTTTGTGCCTACATTCATTACCTATCATTTACAGCCACTTTTAAGCAATTGTTCTCTAGATCTTTTAACTTCCTTTAGAATGAAGTCCCTTTAATATTCTTCTTTGGTCTAGAATAATTTTCCATCAGCTTTTATGACCTCTAACTTTATGCTGATGAACATTTTCATCTTAATGTGGGCACTAATAAATTCATTTAGCTTCTGGTTATGATTTTCATCTTCCCATCTGTTAGAACTTTACCAATCTTGAAAACCAAATCAGACAGACTTTCATTTATAGGCAAAGTTAGGCAATAATAATAATCAAAGAATTTAATTTATTATATGGATTTTTAACTTTTTTCCAGAATTACATAATAGCATTCATAAAAAAACATAATTTAAATAATGTTCAATGGACTCTAAATAAAAAACCATGATGAATTTTATACTATCCTTTAATGAGAAGTTGGAATATTTTATTTTTTCTTCTGATAAAATGAAAGGCAGCTGTAGCTAAGGCACTTTCCAAGTAAATCTAGAAGTTTATGAAAGTATCATTATATGAAGAATACTATTATACAAAGTAGGTAACTTTTACACATTTCAGATAAATAGAACTAACTGGGGGAGTTTAATCATTACTCTGTTGATGTTGAGAAAATACAGAGTGATGGCTGAGGTGATGGCCTTTAAAATTTCACTGCTGGAAGATTCAAATCCCAATGTCTCCACATGCCAATAAGCAACGATGCCTCACTTTCCTTTTACATAAAATAGGAGAAAAGTTATTAGAAGGAAATTATCTTTAGAATTGAGAGGCATAATGGCATTATTTATGTAAAGTTCATAGTCTGTAATGTGACAAGCACTCAAGGAATGCTGGTATCATTACTTGATAAATGAATTTAAAGCAAGGGAAGAAACCTGTTCTAAAAGGAGGTGTGTGTGTTTGGGGGTGGTGGTGCAGACAGGTGGTGTAGGAAGGAGATTTGGACCTTATCCTGAGATGGGAATGCTGTTGTCTCCCTGT